TAGTCTGTTATTTCATCTTACCGCTTGGTGCCATACCACTTGCTAACCGGTATAAATGCTTGTCTTCTAGCGTTCCCTGTTCTCCAAGGATTGACATCTTTCTCATGTGGTCTCGAGGCGTCATGCTATAATGCTGGGGTTTTTTGCCAGCTTCAACCAATCAGAAATGCTCTGAGAAGCAAAGTAGACACATTAGGAGTTAGAGGAGGTATAGTAGAAAGAACAGCAATGAAATATGAGAGCAGCATATAGCATTTACAACTTATTTAAGTCTCACTGAATTCAGTGGGTCCAATCTAGTTCAGATTAACATTGGATTTAGAACTTCATCCCCAGTTGGTTGTCTATCCAGGGAGCTTAGTGAACCCGCAATGTTTAGTTTTAGTGCTTGAATTGGATAATGAATCTTCAGACTATTTCCCACATTGGTAGTTAAATGAAGAATGTACGGTAATATGCAACAGAAAAATCAGCTCCAAGAATGAGCCTTGCACAGTGTTATGCATTCTCAGTTCTAAAGAATGGCATGGATTTGTGGACTTTAAAACAGGTAATGATGAAAAAGCAGCATTCAGATTTTGGGTTTCTTGCAGAATACTGAGAATTTCTTAGCTTGAGAAGATGAGCAATGAAAATATTAATAAGGTAAATAAAGACCAAGAAATCATGAAAATAAAATGCAGAAAGTAAGGATATGCAATGAGAAATTAAAACTACAGATTGTTACAGATGATTGTTCATGGTAAAATAGATGGGGAGGAAGAAAGACAAGAAGAGCCTATCAGTTGAAGTTCTTGGGAGTCTGGTTTGGATGTGACACAACTCGTTAGAGCTACCCATCTGAAATCAAATCATGAAATCCATCCTCCAATAGAAAAGGAGGAGGAGGAGAACAAGGTTAGAGGCACTTCAGGCAGAGCTGTGACCAGGGTGGGGCAACCAGGTCTTGGACTCAGGGTGCAGCAGTTTTGAGGGAGGAAACATTTCTGCTGGAACCACTATTACTATTTTTGCCACTGGAAGGGTGCAAATTTGTCTACCCTGAATATTGGAGTTTTGCAACCTCGCATGCTGCCTGTATTAATTAGATTTATATACTGCCCATCTAGAATGTGTCTATTCTGGGTGGTTTAACTGGGAAGGACCTTTTGTTTTTGTTTAAACTGGGAGGCCACGGACTGCCCCCCCAGGTGTAATTACCGCGGGATTTGTACTGTATATAAGATGAGCTCTCTCAATTTCTCTCTCTCTCTCTCCTCCCCCCACCCTGCCCTCTGTGACCTCAGTCCCCCCCTGTACATATCTCCCCCCCCCTTTGGAAGAGAGTCCGAGCCATGGGGCAAATGGGCCTCAGCCTTACTTTCACCCCCCTGGCAGCTCTCCCTTTCTCTCCCCTTCTTTGGCCCTCAATCTCTCTCTCTCTCAAGCTCTCAAGTTTATTTTATGTCAAATTTATTTTTTCTCCCTCTCTTTTTTTTCTGGAGTGTGTGGTGACAACAGAAGAAAATGTTTAATAAAAAGCAATTGGTCTTTTACGCCATTAGCAGCTGCGAGGACACTGGTGGGTGGTGGGTGGGGGGTGAGGTTGCGCCTTAGTGGACCCCCCCGTCTGCCCACGCCTTCAGCCCTCCAGGATCTGAACCACAGAACGGACGGGTGATGCCAGGCGGGCATCAGATCCACCAGCCTGCCTCTGTCTCGCACACACACGCCGTCTGCCCTCCCCCCAGTCGCCACCATCACCATCTTAGAAACCTTCCTCCAGGTGGGGATGGGGGTGACCTCGCAGTCCCCAGCTTGCCCCACCTGCCCTCGCAGCCCCTCTTGGCATTTTCCCCCATGGCTCCGTTCTGCTAAAGCGGAGGACGGTGGGCTGGCAACACCTTCTTGAGCCAGAAGGCGAGGGTGGGAGACGGGCATACCCCACCGGGAGAACGGAGGGCATCAAAAAAGAGGTGGGGGGGAGGCAGGGTTGGTGACTGGGTCCAGCCGGACGAAATGAGCCTTTAGCCCAGAAAGGAAGCCCCGATTCGACCAGAAGGGACCATTTCTTAAGGTGTGATCACTTCCTGTTTTGTACACGTGGTTGACTTCAACGTTGCCTTCTTTGGGCCCCCATCAGCCTTTTGGCTTCTCCAACGAATGGTGTGTGTATGTGCCGGTGGGAGTCGAGCAGCCTCTCAGGTGAGGGCATCTCTCTTGCATGCCAGGTATGGGGGATGGCGGGCATTACTCCACCAGCAGAAAAGAGGCTCTGTGTTGCAGGAGAGCCAGTCTCTGCCTGCCTGCCTGCCACACACACACACACACACACACACAAACACACACACACGCCTGCCCCCCCACACACACACACACACGGCTGCCGACACCCCCAGGGCTGCAGAATGGCTCCTGTTTCTCTTCCTACCTCCTCTCCTTCCCAAGGACAAGACAGACTGAATGCCATGGGACTTATCCCTTCCCACCCCCTAGTCCAGAATGGCCCCTGGCAAGCATCTCATTGCAAAGCAGGGGAAACCCAGTTCTAAAAACAGCTATGGGGATTTAAAAACAAAAAACCCAGCCAAAACAGCCCATGCGGAGAAATAAAAAAAATGGGAAAATTAAAAGTATCTTGCATGTAGGCCATTAAAACGGCAGAGAAGGAGACTCAGCCTGAATACCCAAATGAAGTAATGAGACATCTTGGCACAGAGAGCTGTGGGGTGTGATGGGTTTGGCCCTCCCACCTGGCCTGGACATCGGCAGGGCAGCTGCTGCTTGCCGTACCCCCTTTGGCTCCGCTACCATTCAGAGGGCAGCCCTTTTCACATGCTCCGGAGGGGCATTCTGGAAGGTCACCCCCGATGCTTGCCGTACCCCCCATTTGGCTCCGCTACCATTCGGAGGGCAGCCCTTTTCACATGCTCTGGAGGGGCATTCTGGAAGGTCACCCCAGTGCTTCTGCTCTCGCCCTCCCCCAAACCAGGGCTAACAGCAGCTGCCCCTCTGCTATGGCCGGCCACACCGTCTGCAGCTGACCCCCCCACTCCACCCCCCCACCCCGTTGCCATGCCTTTTTTCCTGCTGGACGAGACCGAGACCACCGTTGGTTCCTTCACAACCCCTCACAGTTCTTTGCAGGCACACCAGCAGGCCTGGGCTTGTCATGGCTGTTATTGTGCTTATTTATAGTTGGTGTTTTGCCCCTTTTGGTCACTCATGAAAAGCGGGGCTTTGCCTGCGCTGAGGTAGAGGCCCCTAGGCTAGACTTGAGTGAAAATGACCCCAAAAGGTCATTTCCTGCCTCCATCCTTACCAACCCTCTTCTTCTCCCCAAAACGAAGCGTGTTGGAGGGGGAAGCGGGAAGGCTGGCTTTTCCTTCCAGAGCCCCATGGTGCCGAGGACCATCTGCGCCACTGCTGTTTTCTTGGAAGAGGCTGGGAGAATCAAGGACACTCCTGGCGCTGGGCTTCAGGGCTGGCCCTGATAGCTTTATGGAAGCTCTTCTCTGTCCCTGTTCTTGTTGTCAACGGGCATAACCCACCTAACCTCGCAAGGAACGGGTGATTAGCAGCCTTTACACACACACACCTGCTTCGCTTCCCATAAGGACTTAGGTTCTGGGATACTCCATGGGCCAGGAACCGCAGAGAGCGATTAGGCTGTCTGTCTGTCACGGAATCATTGATTAATTAAATGAATGAAAAAGTAACTCACATGCCAACTTTCTCCTAAAGGCAGCTTACAGTATTAAAGGGAATACAATTAAACACTCACTAATCAATGATGACTTTTTTTTTTTGAAAAAAGCATGGAACGGATCTCATATTAAAACTCATAAGAACAGCAATATTTTTTTAAAAAACGCAAGTAAAACACAGAATAAAATGCCCTCGGTCGAGCCAGTCGTTGAAAGGAAAGTCATCCCGGTTGCCTGGTCTTGAGGCATCTTTTTAAAAAGGCTGATGTATTTTCATTTATTTATTGATTGATTTAAAATTACGGCACAAGCTTTCCTGAGTGTAATTGGACTTTATCAAAAGTGTGAAGTGTTTCTCTCCCACACGGCAGATTAGCTGAGGGGAACCTGATTGCAGGGACACGCCTCCCTCCCACCCTGGGATCCGGCCACCTCCGTCCACTGCGCAAACCGTACCACAGACTTCCTGAAAATCAACGGCCCTCCCCCAGAACACGCCACCCTGGAGTTTAGCCCCCAGAGGTACAGTGGGGTCTTGACTTGAGAACTTAATCCGTATTGGAAGGCGGTTCTCAAGTCAAAACGTTCTCAGGTCAAATCTGCATTTCCCACAGGAATGCATTGAAAACCATTTGATCCGTATCTGCTCTTTTCCGTCCATAGAAACTAATGGGAAGCTGCTATTCTGCCGTCGACCACTAGAGGGGGATATTTTGTTTCTTTTTTTCTTAGGTCAAGAAAGGTTCAGGGAAGGCAGGGAAAATACAGTCCAGGCAGTCTGAAGACTGTCTGCCAATCCACTCTCTAAACGCTGGGAGGAGTGAGGAAGCAGACAGCCCCCCTTTTCACTGGCCAACAGTTAACTGAAAGTTCACATTTTGCACTTTCCCTGCCTCCCACGTGGTTTTTTTCAGTTCTTAACTCAAATCTAAGTACTTAAGTCAAGTCAATATTTTCCTATGAGAGCAGTTCTTAAGTCAAAATGTTCTTAACTCAAGCCGTTCTTAAGTCAAGACCCCACTGTACACTAAATGCCACCAGGAGTGTCGTAACGGATGATGCTACAGCCTTTCTAACCATCAGATTCTGTTCCTCCAGCTTTGTGGTTTGACCCCCCTGACACCTACAGAATAACAGCATGGCCTCACAGCGCGTCCAGCGTCACTGCGGCTGACGTGCGCAATGCAATCCCCAAACCTTTTCTGAGATTCTTTGAGGACATCGTGGCCGTGCGTTTCTGGGAAAGCGATGCCCCATCCTCTTCCACTAACACAGCCTGGACCAACCTCACCCCGGCGGCTTCTTTGTTGGACATGACTCAACACATACTTAACTAGTGTACAGCCCTCACATGAGATCCATCCGTGACCTAGGCTTGTCCAGTTGCCTCAGACACACTCCTAACTTAAGGATTTGATCACCGTACCCATCTAAAAGAAAGTGGAACAATAACAACCGGGTTGGCAGGGCCAGGCTGGCACCCGGTAACGATCCACAACCCAAGAAGAAAAGAACGAACCAGCCGTGCAGGACGGAGGGAGGTAGACCTCACCAGGGAACACAAAATGGTTCATTCCTGACACCAGAGACAAACCTCTAAGGACCTCTGCAGCAGCATCAGGCATTTTTACACATAGCAAACAAGTCGGTCTCCATGGATCCCAACTCTGGCATCAGAACTGGCAAAGGAAGGCAAAGTTACTGAGGGAGATTTTCGGTCTGAACCCAAGACGGATATTAAGGGAGGAAAAGAGCTTCAGGGACAAATCCTGCTGCCATACAAACACGCCCCCAATTCCCAGGAAAAACCCAAACAAGAACCGGGACAGGGACAGAATATGGCTTACAGTGTAATTAGAAAACAGTATCACTCCAATTAGAGCTGTTTGGATAGTTCAGTGGTTTAGGTCTTGGTTGGGAGTTCGATTCCCCCACGGTGCCTCCTGGGAGAAGAGACAGCCTGTGTAGCCTTGGTCAAGCTGCGCAGTCCCGGGGCACCCCCCCCCAGAAGTGAAAGGGAAGCCATTTCTGAGTATTCTCTACCTAGAAAACTTTGAACCTGGTCACCATCAGTCAGCTTTGACTTGATGGCACACTATTATTATTATTATTATTATTATTATTATTATTATTATTATTATTATTATTATATGTTAAAATATAAGGCAATCCACTGTAATTTTCAAAAACAGGGAAAACCGAAAACATCTCAGTTGGAGCGCTAACGATAATTTTAAAATCAGGTTCCAATTCAAACCTTTGTCAGGCGGCGAAAGCCTGTCGTTTTTTATATGTTGTCAAGTCACACCGTACGGCAAAACCCTAGCAGGGCTTTCAAGATGTGCGAAACGGCCAAGAAGCAATTCTACCGCTGTCTTCCTCCCAGTGGATTTCTGTGGTTAAGATTCATCCAGATCTCCCCATGTGCCAGCGCTCGCACCACTGCGCTGGCTCTCTTTACCACAGAGAAGACCGTTGCTCGCCCTCATGGAACCTCCCCTTCCAATTTCAAAGCCTCCTCTAAGGAAGACGATGGTGCTTCTGACAGCTTGGACCGAGATCATGTAGGCGTTTACAGGCCAGAATTAGAATTTAGGGCTGGGGCCAGAAATGGACCAGTGGCCCATAAATCTGCTAAACGAGGATTTCTATGTTCCCTGCAACTCAGGCCTAATCCTGAGTCTGTCTGCACTGTTATGACCCACGCTGAAGTTTCTAAAGCAGCCCCCTTGAACATGCCACGGTTATTTCAAGGGGGACTGTGAGGGAGGCGGGCATGAGCCCACCAACCTCGGATGCTGCCAGGATCGTGGCGGATGGTGCCTTCGCTTTAACTGTGCCGATGCGCACCTGGGCCACTGCTGTGTGGAAGATTATAGAGCCGAAAGCAGAAGTGAACCCAAAGGTTGTTGAGGGAGATTATAATACCGCCTAGAGCAGGCTGAATTATATTATTTGATCTGTCTGGCAATGAGCCAGGTGGGCGCCTGTCTTGTCAGAATGAAGCTTCAAGTTGGTTGGCCCTCGTTTCTGGAGCCCAAGCCACCTTACTCAGGGGAGATGCGTAGCCTGGTGCGCCGAATCCCAAACATCCAGGCAAACCTTCCTGGCAGTTTAATGTAACTTCTGCACAGTACAGGGGACAGGCCAGATTCCGATGGGACCCCCATCCACCAAGGTAAGGAACAGGCGTTTCTCCACCAACCCTGCCTGCTGAGATTAGCAGTGCTAGCTAAGATCCACTGCAGGCTAGTGAGTGCCCCCTCCCCAGAATAAACACAGCCCGTAGCAAAAAAATAATAATAATAAAAAAGGGGGGGAGCAAGCATGGTTCGTTTGAGACGTTTGCTGTATTCTTGCCATTTGATGGTGGTCCGATAAAAAGGGATCACCCAGCCTCCCTCTTGTGTCATCCTGGGAACCAGGGGGAATTAATCTTTGCTTTTTGTCCTGTGACAAAGGGAATCTGCTGCTTTTCCTGGGAGAGAAGTTTCTCAAGGGGCGCCCCCCCCCGTGCACAGGAAGATCCTCCTTACCATCGATCCCAACCCCATCGGGGAAGGAAGAAGGGAGAGAAGCAAGTAAGGAGGAAGAGCCTGTGGAGGGGTGGGGGGGAATTATTATGAGGCCACCTTCTTCGGACTACAACTCCCATGTTCCTCCATCACCGGCGAGGCGAGCAGTGGATGATGGGAGTTATAGCCCAAAATAAAAAAAAATCTGTTCGGGACGTGATTCCAACTCCCTTCCCCTGGCATTTCATGGGCACGGAGTGCTGTGGGGATCGGGAAGCCTCAGGTCCAATGGGGCGAACGGACCCCATCCCCAACCGCCTGGGGTCCCTTTTTTAAGAGAAAATGTTTTCAATCCATTGAAGAAATTGGCGGAACCGCCTCCGGAGGCTTCATCAGAGCGCCCCCTTCAGGCCGACAACAGTACACCTCGTCCAACCAATCAGCGGAAAGGGCCGCCTATAACCCCTCCCCCCCGGCAGTGTCCAATGGGGCTGCAGGACTTGACGTTGCCCGACTCCGGCTGCGTTCGGATGCCTCCCATTGGGCGACACGCACGACCCATCCAGGCGCTAGGATCCCGCGAAGTTCGAGCCTGGGGAGGGGGTAAGCCTCCTATTGGCTCAGAGCAGGAGAGGGGCGGAACTACAGCGGAAAAGGTCCATTCCGCGCCCGGTCCTCTGCTCCTGATTGGGCGAGACGCGGCGATGGGGCTGGGCGTGACGAGGGTTCTGGTGCTTCCGGTGGAGGAGGGGGAACGCGGGCAGGAAGTCGGGTGTGTTGCACAGTGGTATGCAGTGCATCCATCACACAAGGCTGTGAAGCTTGAATCCACAAGAGAGGGAGGGATTGTACCTCAGTGGCAGAAAACTTACTCTGCATGCTGAACCTCTCTGGCATCTTCACTTAAAGCACTGGATAATCAGTGATAAGAAATCTACCTTGTGTCTTAAAGAGCTACTGGACTAACAGCCAAGGTGGCCAAATCATCCAGTCTAGAGCTTGGAAATGTTTACTTTTTGGACTACAACTCCCAGAAGCACTGGTTCTGTTGGCTTGTATTCTGGGACTTATGCCCTTTTTATCTAATTCTCTAAATTCTGTCCTGCCTTCCTAAGACTTATCAAAGGGTCCCCTCCCCCCATGCCCTGCTGGCATCTCCCCCCCCACGGGGGTGGTGCAGGTGGGGGGAGACGGGGGTCTCCCTCGTGTCCCGGCTCCCCTCTGTGCAATAAGGCTGCTGCCCGCATGGGAAGGGTGGGGGCCGGTAGGGCCTGCCGACCCATCATCCTCATGGGACCCTCCCTCTCGCTTCTTCTCCCCTCCCCACCCAAGCACACTCAAGAGGCTTGTGCCTGGTCTCCCCTCCCTCTCTAGGCCTTCCCCCCCACTCCCCATGAAGCCCCGGGGAGACCCTCCTGCCACGAGGATGTCTCTGGTGGGGGAGGGTCAGGTTTCCCCCCTCCCTCTGTGACTCCCAAAAAAGTCTCTCCCACCCCTGGGGAAATGCAAGATCTGGAAGTGGCCGACAGACTGCTACTCCTGGTTTGGGGCAGGAATGTGTGTAGGGGGGGCAAGAACAGAAGGGGGACCCTGGGTGTGGCTGTAGGTGTGAAACACAGGACGCAGCCTGTTGAAAGAAGCAGAAGGGCCCCAGAGGTCCTAGGCCCCCTTCTCTTTAAGAAAAAAAAAGAGGGTTGTAGGGCAGGCCGGGGGGTCGTCCTTGGCAGCTTTGCAGGAGCCCCAGCTCTGGCCCCCTGGATCCATTCTTGAGCCCCTCACCCTCCTGGCCGGTTAGAGCAAGGAGAACGGCAGACGTTGGCCGTGTGAGGCGGGTGTGAAGCCTCAGCTCCCTCCCAGCCTTCCCGGTGGATTCAGTGGCAGGGGTGTTGCCCTCCAGGAGAGATTCCTCTTTTCTTCTCACCTGGCTTTTGTCTCCCTGCTTCCTCCTCTCTCCCCCCTCGCCCTGGTTGTGTCCCCACAGCTGTCTTCTGTGCCATTTGGAGGGTGGTGCTCAGCCCGGCCGGCGCCATGGAGCCCGAGTCCCGCAGCGTGCAGATCCAGTTCCCCCATTACGCCTCCGTGCTGCTGGAGTCCCTCAACAAGCACCGCCTGGAGGGGAAGTTCTGCGACATCTCCATCCACGTCCAGGGCCGGGTCTTCCAGGCCCACAAGAGCGTCCTGGCCGCCTCCTCCCCTTACTTCCACGACAAGCTCCTCCTGAACGACACGAACTGCATCGTCCTGCCCAGCGTCATCGAGCCCGAGGCCTTCGAGAACCTCCTGCAGCTCATATACTCCGGCCGGCTCAAGCTCCAGCTGGAGGCCCTGCCCAGCCACCTGCTGGTGGCCAGTGGCCTGCAGATGTGGCAGGTGGTGGACCAGTGCTCCGGCATCTTGAAGGAGCTGGAGGGCGGCCCCTGCCGGCCGTGGTCCAGCCGGGCCAGTGAGAGCCAGTCGCCAAGCAGCAGCAACTACTTCGGCTTGAGGGACGACGGGGAAGGGGGCGCAGGGGGCGGGGAGGGGCTCGGCCACCACCGCTCGCCACATGGCTGCCCCGACGGGGAGGTGCTGAAAATCCAGGTGCCCCACGACGACGACGACGAGGAAGAGGAGGAGGAGGAAGAGGAGCGGCAGGGCCAGATCTGCAGCGGCTCCACAGACAGGCCAGTGAAGGTCATCCTGGATGAAGGGGAGGAGGAGGAGGAAGCCGGGGGAGGCGAGGGCTGCTCCAAGGGTTCAGGGGAGCCGGGCTCCGCCTTCGCCTCTCCACACGAGGTGGCCCCCAAGATCTTCTACATCAAGCAGGAGCGCTTTGACTCTGGGGAGGCGACCGCTTCGGGCCTGGGCGGCAGTGCGGCCTCGTCGTGCCTGGCCGAGTCCAGTTTCCTCAAGTCCTTGGGGAGGCCACTGGGTCTGAGCGAGATGCCCTCAGGATTGTGCCAGGCCGAGATCCAGGAGACCGGCGAGGTCAGCTACATCTTCCCCAGCGGAGCCTCGTCCTCCACCGGGGCGCCCGGCAGCGGCTTCTCGGGGAAGGCGCATCAGGCACTCTCCTCGGACTCGGTGTCATTCCCCGAGAGCTCCTGGAAGCCGGTCGACCTGCACGGGAACGAGATCATCGCCCACGCCGTCCACGGCCAGGTGGTCCACGCGCCCGTCAAGCTGATGTCGGCGCCCGACGGCAAGAAGTTCGGCTGCCTGTGCGGGAAGCGCTTCGCCGTGAAGCCTAAGCGGGACCGTCACATCATGCTGACCTTCAGCCTGCGCCCGTTCGGCTGCTCGGTCTGCAACAAGAAGTTCAAACTGAAGCACCACCTGACCGAGCACATGAAGACCCACGACGGGAACCTCTACGCCTGCGAGGACTGTGGGCGGAAGTTCCGGGTCCAGAGCTGTTTCCTGAAGCACAAGGAGCTCTGCAAGGGACAGGGCTGGGCCACTGCCTGTTGGACCTACAAGTAGAAAGGGGCCTGGTGGGCCAAACCAGGAGGTCAGAGGAGGACCTGGAAAGGGCCTGTGCATCCGTGCTTGTGCAATAGAGAGGCCAGCCGCTTCCCCTTCTCTTTGGCCTCCTCCTCCTCCTCCTGCTCACAGTGGCCTCCTTCCTTGACCCCCGTTTCTCTCCTGTGAGGAAAGGCAGAGCAGAAGCTGGAAGAGGAAGGAGGGCTTTGTGAGGAGGGGAGGGAGGCTGGAGGCCTCCTTCGGTCTTTTCCCGTCCTGCTGCCTTCCTTTTTTCAAGGCGACGCGAGTGGCTGCTGCAGATCCAACGTTGACAGGGCAGAAAGAACAGCCGCCGGTTATTGCCACAAGGAGACCCGGCTTTTAGGACTCTGCCTCCCACGAATCTCAGCGGCCACGAGGAAGGGCAAGGGCAGGTCTTGCCACTTTTACCAAGCCACGTGCCACTACCAGGGATTGCGTCACTTGCCGGGCGATACCAGCGAGGCCCAGCTCAGCTATCTTAGCCCCCCTTTTTTCCCTCCTATCCTGACATTTCTTGGGGGGGCAGCTGTTGCCTCAAAGCACCCTTGTGTGGAGGGGGGTTGCGCTGCTGGTAAGCGCAGGAGCTCTGGCGAGACCTCGTGGCCACAGGCTGTGGAGAGGCTCCTTTCCAGGCTGCCGGGATGAATTTGTCTCATCACTTCATGAAACGGAGGAGGTGTCCAGGGACAGACGGCCGGCCGGGGACACAGAAGCGGCTGTGGGGTTTGTCATAGATTGGGATGTGCTCTTGGCTGCTACTTGAAGAGTGGTGGCCCGTTCCCTCCCGATGTGCGCACGCGCGCGCGCACACACACACACACAGAGCGCCACCTGACAGCCTTCCCTGCTGAGATTCTGGCACACCTATTTAAAGCCAGAGATACTGGAGGCCCATCTCCCACCATCTGAGAAGAATAGGAAGGCTTGTGAGATGTGTGTGTGTGTGGGGGGGGGGGTTTACCCTTGTGAGGACTCATTTGGGAACTAGCTACGTGCACACTATCAATTTGTGGGGTAGCTGGTTTGGGTTTTTTAAAATAAATAAATATAAATATATA